GAACACAAACAGTAAACCTAAACAGATATAATTTAATTTTAATTCAATAACCTGCAACAGTTTGATTGTCAGTATTTTGTAAATTAAATTATGTTGATATGTATTGGTTTGTTATTAAGAACCTTTAAAGTTTCAAAGCAAGTGTTTTTTAAGTGTACTAATATAGTACCCACTGAGAATTCAACAAGAAGTCTCCATCATTTGTCTTACAAGCTTTTGTACTATTAACTTTCCCTACTTTCTCCACTATTCCTTTCCAGTCCTAAATGTTTATGAATAATATTGTTACATATAGACCCATTGCGAGTCAATGACACAGTAAATCCTCCTGAACCATACACATGCAACAATAGGATGTCCATTGCTAGGCGACAGATCAGTAAACAAGCCTCAGCAACAGAGAGTCTGTGTTTTCTGAATGATCCATGCTGGGGGATTATGAAGGAACAAATGAGGTCATTTGAGTAAGTTTTGAAGAATTGGGTCGAGTTCTGTAGATGGCAGTCCAAGGAGTAAGGTTGTGAAAAGAAGACTTCATGTGTGATTTGAATTGACAGACTGTTACAAACCTGTTGCCAGCATAGGACTAGAGACTGACAAACCTAGTGTGCATGTAATGGTGAACCGTAATACGTGTAGATCAGCAATAGTGCTGTTTTGCCTGTAGTCCCAGTTTCTGTGAATAAGGTGTCAATAAATCCAATCCAAAACCCATCTTGTAAGTTAAACACGAACCCCTACATATGATAATATGTTGAGGCCATTGTTTAATAGCACCTCCCACAAGTAGAGAATTATAAATCATTTCCTTTATATGATATTCTACATTTCACATGTCCATATCAAAATACAATCAGTAGATTAGGTATTATGCGTTGAATCCGAAGATTGCCCTTTTGTTTGTGACCTATTGCATAACTTACATTCTTGAAGTGTGTTAATGCTTGACAGTTTGTATATATACACACAGATTTAGTGCCATTACATATATATTGTCATGATTTTATGGAGTGACTATAGATGGATTTTGGATAGGTAATCAGATTTATTTCACACTTATGCACAAAACTTGAAACTACAAGTAACTATAGCACTAACACTAATTCACACACTCTGCAGTTCACTATATCATGTTTGAAGTCTCCTCAGTCTGCTGTATCTTCACTGGTTGTAGCGTGATAACGGCTTCCAGCACCATAGCTTGCTCCGTTTCCGTGTTCACATCCTTACTGGACGGTGACTGCCTCACAACTAACACCCAGGCTGGCAGCCATCTCACACCAACCTCCTCCACTTCTCACTACTGTCTCAAGACTCTTGTATTCGCAGGTGCACCTCATTATATAGCCTTGGCATGGACTTCACAGAAGCTCCTAACAGTTCTCTTGTGTCATGTAGCTATCACACGGACTGTGTAGAATACACCATTTCCAGGTACTCCATTGTTGCATGTTATGAATCTGTTGCCTAGCAAGAGGCATGTTTGAAGAGTCGTTCCCTAGCAACTGCTGTTTCTGCAGGCTTCACAGTTCTTGCCTTAAGCAGATATGCCACAGTATTTATTTTCTTAAATAATACCATACATTCGAGATTTTTACCACCTACATTTATCCTAACGATTTTCCTTTGTATATTAAAACTTTTCATTGTCTTAAATTTCCCCTCAGTACTCCATGTAGCAATGAAAAGGATAAAAGGAAAATAAGTAATGTTATGAGGGTCACTCAAAATCTTTTACCCCCTATCTTTTCTCTCTGCAAATATTACTGGTGTAAACATATTTATGTGCCTTATTTAAAATATTAACGTTGTATGTAATATCCATCCCATTCTGTACAAAGGTCTGTATTCAGGCCATATTGGAGTTCAAAAGAGGCCCAGGACACTTGCCATTTTTTAAGGCCCCGGTGTATTACAAAGTTCTAGGAATAACTAATTGCCTCATTTCTTTTCACTACATGTTTAGTATTTGAGGTGACATGACCACATAGAAAACACTGCATCCAGCAGTTCTGCTGTTGCATGTGTTCATTGCATAAGAAAGTGTTCACAGAGCCATTGCCTAGCAAAGTTAGATAGGGACACGCAGACAGCAAGGTGATCTCATAAGCCTCTTTTTTATTTTTCAAAATAAGGAAAGTTGATTGAAAATGAAGAAAGTCCAAAATGGTTTTACAAAAATTGCAGTATATTTAATTGTTTAAATTTAACAAATTAACGTTTTTAACGCACAAAAAATGCAATGCAATAGTTTGCAATAAATATCCTGTTTTATTTCACAAGAGTTTTCTAGCTGTTTTCTGTGCAAATGTACCTGTTAATGTGGAAAAATATAATTTCCTTGCAGTGTCACAAAGCGTAGTGCTATTCAAATTATCTTTTCCCATAATTGAAGATTGGGAGTTCTTGTTCTGCTTCAGTGCATTTGAAGACGGTCCTGAAGGTCCTGAAGCTACTGATGTAGGTAGACTGGAAAAGAAAAAGAAAATATCACTGCTATGGTGACATTAGGAAACACCAGAAAATCCAAGCTGGAATATTTCTTGAAGCAATTTCTTTGGCTTACAATTCAATTTAAAGTTCAAGAAATGTATCCGAGTGAGGAAAATGACACCACACAGGTCTGTTGATATTTCTTTGGAATTTTTCTGCCGTTATATGTAGATCTTCACTGCTCAGGCTATGAAATTGCCAGAGAAGCACAAGCAGTTTACAGACTATATTGATTCAAACCACTTAAGACCTGATATAATGGAATCAGACATATCAAAGAAGACATTGATTCTTTTATATTGTTGAGCATGCGACTTGCTACTTATCTTGTGATTGTAGTTGAATGCAGATAAAATGCCAATATTCTGACTCGGCTAGTAATTTGTCCTCAGGCAAGGTCACAGTCCATTTTTCATGAACCTGCTGAATGTCAGCAGTGACACTTTCAGTGTTACTCCTCTCAACATCAAGTGTGTTTTGTTAGGCACTTCAATCAGCAGATGAATCTGATAGATCATCGTAAGTAACTCAACTGCAAAGACCTCATTAGAACAAATTAAAATTTACATGTATGCAGATGACCTTCTGTTAATGGCTAAGGAAGAAACTGTGCTACAGGGCATGATTGATAGACTAATTGAAATTGGAAGGTGCTATGGCATGGAAATGAATTTGGAGAAAACAAAAGTAATGAAAATTTCGAGACAACCAACCCCAGTCACAATAAAGATAGACCAAAAACAACTGGAGAATGTGAAATGTTTTAAATATTTGGGTAGCTTGTTAACAGATGATGGAAGGTGTACTAGTGAAATTAAATCCAGGATTGCCATGGCAAAAGCTGCATTTAGCAAGAAGAAGAATCTTTTACCAGCAAATTGGACTTAAATTTGAGGAAGAAACTAGTGAAATGCTACATTTGGAGCATAGCTCTGTATGGGGCTGAAACATGGACACTTAAGGCAGTAGATCAGAAACGTCTGGAAAGTTTCGAAATGTGGTGTTTTGGAGAAGGATGGAGAAGATCAGTTGGACCGATTATGTGAGAAATGAAGAAGTGTTAATTGGAGTCAGTGAGCAGAGGAATATCCTACACGAAATAAGAAAACGGAAGGTTAATTGGATTGGTCATGTTTTACGCAGAAACTGCCTTCTAAAAGAAGTTGTCGAAGGAAAGATAGAGGGGCGGATAGAAGTGACAAGAAGACGAGGAAGAAGACATAAGAAGATGCTGGATGACCTTGGGGACAGAAGGGGATACTGTCATTTGAAGGAGAAAGCTCTAGATCGCATTAAGTGGAGGAATTGTTTTGGAAGAGACTGTGGACCTGTCATCTGATAGATTACTGATGATGATGTATTTCTGCATAGTGTTAAGTTCATTTCAAGCCTATGCAGTGAGGCCCTTGTTGGGCTGCCTGAGAACTTCATCCAGAGAGAGACAGCCCATGCATTTCTTGATGGAATGAGGGATCACTACACCAAGCAGAACCACTTCATTCATGGTGAGAGGTCCCTCAATGAAGCCCTTAACCAGTCATTAAAATAGAGGCAGCGAAGGCAGCAGTTGGACCGCCAGCAAAGCCATGGGAGGTAAGGGCTGGCAGCCCATGAGAACACTGTTTCCAAAGCCAGAGCTCCAAAGGACTGGACAACCCGTAATTCTGGCAGTGTGGAGAAGTCGGTCACCTCAAAACAGACTGTTGACAGAGATGTGATAAGGGCTGCCTGAGAGGAATCTGATCAAGACTCAAGAGACTTACCTCAGCGATGTGCCTGAACTTGGCGCCAGGACCTATTGAATCAGCATAATGGCGGGGCACCACTAGCCCCACTAGCGATGTTCACCAAAGTCAGCAGCATGACAAAGGCCCACTGCCACCTCGTAACTAACACTGCTGGATTCAAGGGAGGAAGGGACGTCTGGTTCTAATGCCCAAACGGTACTAGAGGGATGTCACCAAAGCTGCAGGAATCCTGGGAAGGCCCTTACAAGGGATAGCCCGATCAGTTATAAATTTATTACTTCCTAAGATGATGGTAATGTAATAATTATGAACAATGTGAGCTACCAGTCTTTTACATTAAGAGAAGTGCCTAACAATGCCATGAGAAATGAAGATGGTACTGGTTTAGTCGTATAGTAGTTAACCTATATACTGAGCCCTTGGTAATGGCTGTCATATGTCATTCCCGCGTTTTTGACAAATAAGGCTGATAAACGACAAGTGTTGCGATTCATTGAGTCGAGCGACTAGTCTTGGCGGTCTTGGCCGTCTTGGCGACTGTCCGACATCTTTCGTTATTAATTGGAATTATGTGCGTGTACATAATTCAAGTAACTCCCAGTTGCGAAAACATATATTGCCTAGATCATTTTTGTATATTAATTAATTTTTTCAAAATAAAAAAATATCGCGGTTCTATGTCTGTCACCAACAACGTTCAGTTCCGCATTTATCCGATCCGTGATAACCATAGGATCCAAACTTTGTTTCGATCCATGCTTTGTAATCCGTGCCAATCTGTGATCGTGAGGAATTGCTTGTAAATCGTGATGTGTACTTGCATTTGTAGGTTACTGAAGAATTTTAAAATTTTAAAATGCGATATGCCCAGTGGGACAGGTTGAAATTCGGATTTGAAAGGCAACTAAAGACGTTGCAAGGTAATACAAATAAGAGAGACACATTTTTCAGTAGTTTACAAGTCTGGCAAAGTTACATTTGAGGGACGTATTTTGTAATTATATGTAAATTTACTCAGGCCACGAAGGAATTAATATTTGTTTCTCTCTTTCTCCCTATGGCTATACAGTCCTTTAGACTTTGGCCTCTGTTTCAGTTTGTTAATACTATACACAGTCGGTAGGATTCCTTGGACGGGGGATCAGCCGGTCGCAAGGCTGCAACCTACACACAAAACAACACACACAGACATCTATACTTAGAGTGGGATTCGTACCAACAACTCCAGTGTTCGAGTAGGTGAAGACGGTTCATGCATTAGGGCTTGTGACTGCTGTAATGGGCGTGGAATTGGTAATAATATATTGCCCTTCAACTAAGCCTTGGCCTTTGCCTGTCAAGGTGGCACTCTTGTAATGTATTGGACTGTCCCTTTAAAACCTCATATAAATTAAAGTGGGTTGCATAACAGCAGCAGCCCTTTGAAACGTGTAAAACAAAAACCCCAAATCTGTATTACTTTGTAGGACTGTTAAGATACCAAGGAGAGTAATTTTAATATTGATTTGATTTGATTTTTATTGATTTATTTATTTAACATCCATAACTGTTACATTATGTACAATTGGACAAGTCAGTTGTATAAAAAAATATATGAGATTAAACATCACAAAGTTATATGATTACTTATCTACAAATGTGTAAATTATATTTCTATGTATAAGTAAGAAAATTCCTGATTTTAGATGTATAAGTGGTCTTTGTTTTAATTTTGGATCCAATAAATATAGGGAAAAGTTTTTATGTGTTTCTTGTCAAATGAATGTGATACAACATATTGAAGAATAGGTTTGGTTATAATGTGCAAGTTGTTTAGCAGAGGTGTTCCTGTGGAGGGTAACAATTGCATTTATCCTAGATTGAATATTTCAATTATGCGTACTTCTATTTTATGGGTGCAAAAAAGGAAAAGCAACTCACAAAATTGGTTTGAAATAAGTGAAACTGAACTGAGTATTCACTGTGGTGAGGCTTGCAGAGCGGTGGTAGTATCATGATGTTCTCTTTGCATGAGATACTTCCTGGTTAGAAATATTCTTTTTGATCTTACAATAAGTTTGCTCAAGTTACACAAGGATGTAAGTGGGAACCATAAAATGTAAACAAATTGTTCTTCATTTTTAACAACTTATGATGTTCTGCCATGTTTAAGAAAATGAAATAATTGTCCATTTATATACGTTTTTCAGTTATTTACATTTAACATCTTCATTTATCCATCAAATTATGATGATTGAAACGGAAGGATTTTGATCTTACTATTATGCCCCCAGCATCAGTAAAGTGTCAGTAAGCACTCTTGTGTAGGGAGCTTGGTTCACTGGTTCAAATATTTTACAGTTTCAGAGAAGTGTGATTTCTGAGAGTGGTAGTCACACATTTCCTCCCTCCCTCCTTTTGGTGCTACAGCTCAGGGTGAGCTTTGGCCTCCTGAACAATCTGCCTCCATTCTGCTCTGTTCTTCATCTTTCTTTCCATTCCACCCGTTCATCTGAGGCTGAACATCTGGTTTCTGAACAGTTTAGTTTTTATGGTGTGAGGTTGTTAGCCTCATGCCCAACCCCTAACCTGGAGGACCAGGGTATCCCTCTTTGCCTGTCTCCTACCCCTTGACCTGTCCAGCATGGGCGACCCTACCAGTAGCTACACTACTGCTGCCATAACTCTCAGGGTCTCAGGAGCACTCAAACCCTGCCACCACATTAAGGTGGAGACACCATCGGTGGGGTTTTGGTTTAGATTATTTGTGACACATAGCTTTGTCAGAAGTTATTGTTGACATTTGTCTAATCATAATGAACATCTGTGATTGTAGAAATGAGTGACAGAGGTTGAAGATGAATATTGAAGCTAGTAGTAATGAAGAATCTCAGCAGATTCAACCTAGACTGTGTGGCTACATGACAGTTGGTTGGAACAAGGTTCCAAGCAAATCCCGATGGCTGGTTCTTTCGTCTGACAATTGCAGGCTCTATGTATATAAGACTGAGCATGATCCTGTGCCAATAAAAGATCTGGATATTTCACGTGCGGTTTTCCTGTACGATTCCACGAAAGGTGAAGATGCTCAATTCTGGATAAGGTAAGGATCGACCAATAAGTACAAAATTTGCTGTAATATAAGGGTTCCAGGAAATGGAATCCTATTGCTGTGCATTGATTCCCATGGGAATGTGTTTACCAAGTCTTTGCGTAGCAGTGGGTCTATATGTCAATCTATATATGTAATGTTATATCTTATGTTACTGCCATATTCTGAAATCAGTTATGCCATTTCACATTCAGAATATAGTAAATTCAGATTAATCTTATAGCCTTCAGATTGAACTGGCTGAGTATTACATTAAAACTTGTATTGTTGTTTGTAGAAGTGGTGCAGAAAGTCTGCAAATCAAGGCTGGAAATCTCCAGAGACGTGACTACTGGTTGGCACGTTTACGACAGGAGAGGAGGAGTTTTGGTGCAAGATGCTTATATCTTATCCAACACCCCGAGCTGTGGGCGTGCTTTGCTCTTAGAGGAAATCTGGTAGGAGTTTTATGTTCCTTATAGTGTTCACATTTTATGATACAAAATTGAAATGACAGTAATTAAATCTGTCACGTTTCAATGTAGATCATATAAATTCTTTGTGCTTGATACTGAAGAAAGTAATCTGTCTTTGAAACTGTCTGTGACAGGAAGTAAAAGTAAAGGTATCCCTGTAACAGGCCGTGGAGGCCCATAGGGTTGTGAGATGTTGAGGGTCCCACGTTTTCTAGACAGTCGGCTTATAGATGACGGCAAGGTTGTCAGCCCTATGCGCCAGCCGCCCTCTGATACTCATTTCAGTTAGAGGCTGAGTCAACCCCAGGGCCATAGTGCAACTGGAAGGATTAGGTCCATTGAAAAAATCCATTGACCTCATCAGGACTTGAACCGCAACCTTCTGGCTTGTAGCTTAGTGCCTCAACCAAATACACTACCGGGTGACCCAATTAACTACCTATAAGAACAGTGTTTGACAGCAAAAATATTTGTTCTACGCAACAAATTTTATAATACGTAAGTCACTAGCAGTATTTATAGTATAATTTGTCAGTGATGTAGTCTTGAGACTTCTGTGAATAAACAGTGGTGTTGGCTACTGTCATGTAACCAAACTATGCAGGTATGTTGATAATACATTGTTGCCTTTGCACATGTGCAATAGCTTACCAGATATATTCTTAACAATTGTCCCAGGTCATTGAGTATGCATCCTGAAAAGCAATTTATGTGGTGAGAAAATGAAAGTCATTGGCCTACCAACAGAGCATGATATTCTGAGTGATACTTTATGTTGCTGTGAAATCTGGCTGTGGCTTTGTTGGCAGTAAGTGCAAGACTTGCGTAAAATGGAAAATTCACATGACGGAAATTGTACAGTCTGGCTCTGACCATGTGATGACACAATGATTATTGATTCAGCTTTGTAAGAAATGAGCAATTCTTCATGTGACACTTTCAAACTAAAACTAATATCTGTTGATGGCATTGTGGGTAGTAACTAAAAAGTCACATGTCACCATAAAGAAAATAACATAACAAAATAAATACTGATGTTATATTTTAGCGTCCTGTTGCACTGATTTAAGTCCATGATTTATTTAATCCGTCTTGCAGTGCATACACTCATTTATCTCCTTCTCTCCCTCGCACTACATGTTTACTACTACACACGCAGTCGCAGGAGCACGACACAACAAAAGCACAACACACAAGATAATGAAGGAGTGCTCCAACAAAGGAGAATGGGCGTGACTGACGTAGTGAGGGGCGACGTAGCGATTTGGTATCCTGAACAATTTTAATATTTTTAACCCGTTGCCGTGGTTCGTCGTGTATGTNTTAACGTTTGACAATGTATATGATAGATACATATTTTAGTTATTTTAATGTGTGAACATGGCATGCAATGAACTGGTTTGACGTGGATAAGTAAGCACCTGAAGATGGCATTATTATGCCGAAACATGTAGTGCGAGGGAGAGAAGGAGATAAATGAGTGTATGCACTGCAAGACGGATTAAATAAATCATGAAAATAAATACTGACTCGGATTTTGCCCATTGTAACAAAGTAAAAACTAACTTTGTGTTATTTGTGTGTTTCGTCAGTAAATGTTAGCACTACTTCATGTGTACTATCAGTATCAGTGTCGAATGATGGTAGGATAGATATTACTGGATGCATACGAGGATAACTGGTCACTTTCTACACATGTGTCCTAAAGCTGCAGAGTCAGCATGAATACCTGTTAGGACAAGTACGAAATGCTGTCCAGACCCTGGTGTTCTTTTGGTGTGCTGGAATCCGTGACAGTTCACTCTGCTGGCAAGAAGATCATGGAGACTGGAGCAATAAGATCTAAAAAAACAATGCTGCACCATAATTGGCATTTGTCACAGTTGATGGACAGAAGTTGATTCCTTATGTCGTATTTATAAACAGGAGATGATGATAAACTAGAAGGTCCCCCAGGGAATTATGGTATGGGTTCAGAAAAGCGGCTGAATTACTGAAGATCTAGCGGAAGACTGACTTAAATCTATGTGGTTTCAATGATCAGGTGATTGTTTTGCCAGTGAACCATGCTGGTGTTAGATAGTTTCTGGGGCCATACCATAGAAGATGTGAATACCTGTTTGCAACGAGAGAAGTGTAACCTAGTAATCATACCAGAGGCATGGTCGACATGTGGCCAATTCATGTCATAATGAGCCTGCAATCTAAAGCACATAATTAATTTTCATATAATGAATGGGTGCAGAAAGATGGGACAGGACCAGCAGGTTGAAGCCTGGCAGTCTGTTTTGCAATATACGATAGCAAATAGCTAAGGTTTAGAGGTCTGGTATCCCTAAGAAGATAGGCAGGAGTGAGGGAAATTTCCTGTGACTTAGTTTGTTGAAGAAAGCTGGCAAACAGGATGTAAGTGTTAGTGAAATAACATACTTTAATTGAAAACATTTATAATATTTCCATGCTTTTCTACTTAAATAATTATTATTGTGTATATATGACTGATTTTATACTGAAAGTGTTACTGAGAAATTATCAAACATACAGAATCAGTTCTTGGTAAGTTCATTTTAACATTTTCAGTTTTCCTCAGATGCTAATTGTCGCTAATGAGGGTTACAGGTTCAATTGTCTACAGAATAACATGTTTTTTGGAGGATATAGTTTTCTTAAAAATATTGAGTGGTATTCCGCATATGAACGGACTTCTTGTTGATAAATCTGTCTGTATATTTTTATGCGTTTTTGGGAGTATTTATTATTATTAATTGTTGACATAAACTGCTTGTTAATAAATCTGTCTATATGTTTAAAATATTTATTTCTAAGTGTTTTTTGGAGTATTTATTATTCTTAAATTAAGTTAAAAATGTATTTTGAAATGTATTGCTGTATTATAGTGATGAATCACTGTGTGAATGTTATGTTATTTTTTTACTTACATTATTTTTGCAGCTATGGATGAAATAAATAATAATAATAACAACAACAACAACAACAACAATAATAATAATTCAATTCATTCAATTCAATTCATGTTTATTTACGTGCAATAACTTAACAGCCCAGCGGCCAATTACAAAGTTAGCACGAGTATATAAGGTACAAAATAATTAAAACAAAATACAAATACGACAAATAAATCTGTGAACATAGATCTAAAGAAGACTGAAATATATACATACATTTATGAAATATTACGAATGTTGCTAATACTGTTAGTAACTAAATACTAAGATAAGACACCAGTGAGTGATAGCATAAAATTAATAAAATTAATAACCAGTCAATAAATTAAAACCAATTACATAAGAATAATTAAAGCTAGCCGAGGTAACACATATTTGTAGTGAATGAAAACACTAATCAAGTAACACCGTAAAAGGTTTGGTACATGCTTGTAAAATATGATTCAGAGAAACC